GTCTAGTGAGGAGGTATCCCTGCCCATGGCAGGGGGGTTGGGACTAGATGATCTCTACAGTCCATTCCAACCCCTAAATTCTATGATTCTATGATGCACCTGTGGGCTGAACCCACACATGTCCTGCTCTGCATCCCAACATCTCCTTTCCCCACTGGGAATCTCCTGCAAGCTGAGGCAGCACACAGCTGGAATGTGCTTTGTCCCAACTCAGGTTTGCTACCCCCTAAGCAAAGGCTGCCTGAGGCTTGTGGGGCCTGGAGCTTGTGTCAGGAAGGGAGGAAGCAACAGGGGTGTGGGAGGCAGAAGGGCTCTGGAGGCTGAAGGCAGGTCCAAGGGAAAGGACAATCCCAAGAATAGAAGACTTTTTAATAGCTCATGAGTGTTATTTATACTTTCTTTCACTTTGAGCCCACCCACCATGAGAAAGGCTAGGAATTTCACTTTAAAAAGGTGAAAATGTGATGCATGAAGGTGCTGGGGACTTAAAACATCTGAGACAAATCACAGAATCACTGAATGTTAAGGGCTGGAAGGGACCTTACAGACCATATAGCTCCAAGCCCCCTGCCATGGGCAAGGAGACCTCCCACTAGACCAGGTTACTCAAAGCCCCATCCAGTCTGGTCTTGAACACTTCCAGGGATGGGGCATCCATGACTTCTGGGGGCAACCTGTGGCAGTGCCTCACCACTCCCACAGTAAAGAATTTCTTCCTAATATCTAGCCTAAATTTTGCCTCTTTTAGTTTGTACCCATTGCTGCTTATCCTGCCACTACAAGTGATACAAGTGATGAGTGCACAAAGTGCAAGAGTGGCTATCAGTGGGATTGACAAGCTTTGGTTTGGGAGGTCTGCAAGGAATGGGGTGGCTATCAGTGGGAAGGACAAGGTTTGGTTTGGGAGGTCTGCAAGGAATGGATCAGTAATCCTTTCCAGGCATCTTATAGTTTGTGTCTTGGTGCAAAGGACAAGTTTAATCTGAACAGTATAAAAAGAAAAAACCCCAGAAATTCTGGGCATTTCCCAACACAGAAATGTAATCAGTCTCTAAGCATCCATACCCTTTCTTTTTTCCCTAGTCACTCACCTGTCTGCACAGCACATGCATTGTGCTTTCTTCTCTTGCCACCTGCCCCAGTCCCAGTGTTATGTCACTCAGACATGTGCAGTTCCAGAGTAGCAACTCAGACTGATCTCCTGTAAAGACCCAGTGCAGAGTCAAATTGCAACCTCACATTTCATAAATTCCTGCTATACACAGTGGAGCACACTGTACTGGAGTAAGTGCTTCTCCTGTTCATGTGGAAAGAACATTACTTTTGTCAGCCCAGTTAGCCACGTTAGGATGGAGAAGCATGGCTCCCCTTACTCAGTACTGTACAACTGGTAAATCTTGGAAACAAATGTAAACTTGGCCTTATATAGTCTGATTATATTTTGCCTATAGAAAGTGTCTTTAACAGAAGATTGCTAATATTTCCCTTTTTTTTTTTTAAATGGAAGCTTCAACATTACAAAAGGGAAATACCAGATTCACCTAAAGATGCAGCATAAACATCTGCAAGATGAGACTTCTAGCTTTCTCTACACCAGCTGAAAGCTTTTACCACTATTCCTATCCTTGTGTTTTGATTTTCCTCCTACACATTGATGGGAAGAGGTCCTCAGCATCACTGTTAAATGAGCCTCAGGTGGGAGGGGGCATGGACAAGTAGCAGCTACCTGCCATAAAAAGGCTGAGCAGAGGATGTGGTTAGTTTCTTGCTGGGCTGTAAGCAGTAGTAGTGGCAGCAGCAGCAGCATGGACCTTAGGTTTGAGGGGCTCTAAGGGGGGTAGGAATAGCTTAGCTTTTGTAGGAGGGGGGTTGTTTTGGTTTTTTTTTCCTTCCCTACTCTCTCTCAAAGGTCAGAATAACTGTGGCCTGGAAGAGTTTGTAGGCCTTTTGATAGTTTGAAGTACTGGGTAGGCCACCTTGGATGGAAACTGCAGAGGGCTCCAGTCTTCCTGAAAGAATTTTCAAGCCATAGGCTCAACAGTGTGCTGGTTTGTAACAGGTCTTGAGCTTTTTTTTCAACCCCCCTGTAAATTTGTAGTGTTTAAGTTGTTTTATATTGTTTGGAGTTTTTTCTGTGCTGTTGCTAGATTTGTGTTCTCTGGTGATATGTTTTGCTTGTAAGCTCTGTGTGTTAGGGTCGCATTGCTTACATGGGTAGGAATGGACTGAGCTTAGTCTATTAGTTAATTGAGGAAATAGCTAAGTGTGGGAGGAAATTCAATCTTGTGAATTTTCTATCTCTGGATGTCAATTAATGCATAAGGATTTTGGTGGGGTTGTTTTTGTTACCTATCATTTGGTTTAGCATAGGACATACAGTGATACTGAAATATTTGCTTTACTATGTTAGTTATTGTTGGGTTTAGGTCTATTATAAAGTATAGATCCTAAATTAATACTATGATGTGTAATAACATACGTATTAGCATTATGAAGTGTCTTCTTTGTGAAGCATCAAATCTCTGACTGTGTGAAGCCTTCTATTGCTCCTTTCTCCTTTTGGGGTTTTTTTGGTAGACTTTTGCTCAAGGCTAATTGACTGAAGGATTTTTTTTTAATTGGCTGAAAGACTATTGAAGTCCTGTGGCTTTAAAATGTGTTATAAAGTTGATTTGAAGGACTAATATTGAGAGCTTCATATAAAGGCTTACTTAGCAAAGGGCAACTGAAATAACCTGACCTTGATAGCAATGTTAGTTTTCTGCTTTTTGCTTGGAAGATAGTAGCTTCATCTTGCAAGTATCTGATTTCTTTGGGCCAAGAGAGGAATGTCTACTGAATTCTAGCAGCCTAAGAATCATTAGGTCACACAGGTTTTTTAAGTGGTTGATAGTGATCATTTATCTTTTAGTGTTTAAAGGAAAATGAATGCAGCCTCAAATCCAGAAAGTGGATCATACTCCACAAACCACCCAAGACCCTTTTTTTATGCACAGCCAGCACAACAGCCTTATCCAAATCCATGGTACCTCAGCCATGCATACAGTCCATACTGTGTGCCTGCTCCAGGTAAGGTGAATGAGAGCTGTCTGTGGTAGCTTTGCTTAGCAAGTTACTGCTAGAGCAGAGGAAGCAAATCTGTATCTGTGTTGATCAGCTTCTTGGGAGTTTAAGGTAGCATTGATGTAATGCTTCAGTTGTCAAAGATCTGATTTATTAAGTATTGTTTAAATATGTAGCTTGCATGCTGGAAAGCATCTGTTTCTGAAGAATGGAAACTAAGCAAAATATTAAGTAGTGGTAATCCTGCAGGCCCAGAGCTCTAGAATGTGCCTAGCAATTACTATGTGTGTCTGTATGAGCTCCATACATGGATGCATGATAAGTACTGACATATGCATATATATCTATATGGTAAACTTACAAATCTACACAGAAACCATATTGTTCAGTATACCCTGTAAACACTGTACTTGTGTTAACTTCTGTCTGGAGCTGTCTCTTTTTAAGAGACCAGTTCTATTGCAGTAGTTCATAAAATAGTAGAACAAGAAGTATAGAAAGCTAACTGGTGAATGTTCCAAGGACTAAAATCAAGCTCTGGTTAAAGTGTAGATGTCCAGATAAACTATGCTTTAACAAGGAACTCTCTCTGGGTTTTTTGCATCACATTTGCTTCCAAGCATTGAAAGGTGTTTTGTTTACTGATGTGTCTGATCTTGTAGCTGTTCCTTGTGTATGCAAGTAAATATTAATCAGAATGACTTTCTTCAGAAAGAAGATAGACTTGTCTCTTCTTCTTTTTACCCCCAATGTCTAGGCTTCCGGAGTGGCAATCCATATTTGCCATTTTATTCTGTTGCACTCCATGAGTACCCTGGATTTTTTGTTCCACAGTATCCAACGCATGCAAGAATGAACAGAAGGCCTTATTTTAATGCTGCCCCACCTTCCCCTATGTTTTATCATGCAACAAGGTTTAGACACTATAGTACCTCTGGAAGAAAAATGGAGACAAAAGAAACACAGACTGATTCTAGACAGCCTGAAAACAAGCAAAGAAAGGATCAAGATATCCGCACAGAAACGAAAGGTTGTGATGCAGGAAATATGGCCTGTGTTTCTTCTGGTATAGGTACAGAGACTGAAAGTACTTCAGAGAAACAGGATTCATCTGGATCTTCCATTGTGGTAGACAGAGAGTTTCATAACAAGAACCCTGCCAACTCTACGCAGTATAGAAAACTTCCTACTGGAAGCTATGCCTTTGAGAAGGAAGAAGTGAGGATAGAGTATGGAAATGGCACTCCGGCTATTCAGCTATGGAAGTCCTTTAAAGAAACTATCCCTTTGTATGATGTGGCAAGTGGCAAACCAGTCCCAGAGAACATAGTGCCATGTGACTTATTTTCTGTTAGCTCATGTGAAGGCATGATATATGGCCCTCCTGAAGGGGAGAAAACAGTGCCAGGAACAGCTGTAGATGACAAAAAAGCTGTTGTTCCCTCAATACAGGGTGCTGAAACTGTGCAACAAAAAGATGTCCAAAATAATGAACTGAAGCTGGATGCAGAAAAAACAGCAAATACAAGTCAACAGGCAAAATCCTCCCCAGGTGAAACCATGGCAGTGCAAATCACAGAGTTGGGGAGGTCTTTTGGTATAGATCAGCCAGTATTAAGGCAGGATGTGGTAATAGCTAAGAAATCTCGCACTAAAAAATCTACAGGCTCAAGAACTTCTCAAGAAGAGCCCGGCTTTATTCAAGCAGGACTGCTTCCATCTAATATGGAGCTAATGAGTGACCTGAATTTTCAGCAGAAAAAGCTGAATTTAAGCCATGGTGAAACCTGTGAAAATCAGAAAGATAGAAGTGTTTGGTGTGGTGAATCAATTGAGAAGTATATTCCCTCTAGCAGCTGGCTGGCTTGTGTGGACAGTATGGACACAAACTACAATGTTTGTTTGCCACAAAGGAAGCGTCAAAGTGTACTCAGTCTTTCTTCTGATGACATGTCCTCTAGAGAGGAAGGCTCATCACTTGATAATGCCCCAGTGTCTTATTTTGTCCCTGACTATGTGCTTCAGAAAAGCATGTATACCTTTCAGAAAAGTGTGGAGGGCTTGGAGAAAGACAAAATTAAAGGTGGTGGGTCCCTTAATGAAGATGAAGTGGTAGAAAAGGAGCAGATGAACAGCTTGAATGACCAAGATGTCAGCTCTTCAGCCACAAAGGTTAAAGAGGCTCCAAGTAAAGGTAAAATGATGGGAGCCTTTTCTAGATCTCCTGATAGGAAAAAAAGCAAGTCTCTCAACAAAAAGGCAGCTAACAATTTGTCAGAAGTTGAGGACTCTGAAGAATATTCTGTGAAGGGAGAAGAGGAAGATGAAGATGGAGAGGATGAGGAGGATGAGGATGATGACATGGATGAAATAGAGTATTTCTTTCAAGAAGCCCCTCCATATGCGATCTTGGCACCCAGTAAAGGAAGTTTATACCAAGTTGGCCAGAGAGTGCTTTGGAAACCACCTAAAAATGCTGTACCAGCACAATTAATTAGCTGGCCTGTTCAAGACAAAGTAAAAACTAGGAGTGGGATTGTTGAAAATACTGGTGTAGTTTACAAGCCAAAGGAGAAGGAACAAGATGAAGTTGCGTACAGTGACTATGGGTATTATGGAAGAAAGAGGCCTATGACAAGAAGAGAAGGACTTGAACACCAGCGAATGAGACGGAAATTCTTGGGAGGTAAGATAATTGCTGAGGACAAAGTGCTGATTAGTAGCATACACAAAGAATACCTAATTACAGATGCAAATTGTAGCTTGAACCAGTGGGAATATTAGAGGATGTTGTACCTGAAAGGTTTGGCTTAGAGCCAGAAGTGCTGTAGAATACCTTTTTTGAGGCAGGGGGAGTTTGCTGCAACTTTTTACCTATTGTATGAGGATTCTGCATCTTCACAACTACCAGAGAATTTTGCAGAAACTCTTCTTTGAGTTAGATTTGATAAACTGCACTTTCTGACATTAGTGGCAATTTTGAAAAGCTCAATGTCATTTAAATTCCACATTCACTGTTGCTTAATATCTTGGAAGCTCTGCATTTATGTTTATATGAACAGCCTGACTCTCCCATCACAGACCCATGCTATGTGGATTAAACAGGATTAAGATCATTATGATCTGGTGGACATAACCTGTGTAACTTCTTGGCAGAAGAGGAGTCAAACCATTAATTTATTTTTTTATTTTAGCTGCTGCTCTCTTGCTGTTAGCAACAAATGTTTTGCTGTATTTTTGAAAAACCAGTGTGAAATTGTATTAAATTTCACCTGGAAAAGAACATCTTATTTACTTAAAGGTAGATAGTGTTAGAAGTTGAATTAATCTGAACTGAGGCTAAGCAGAGTTATCAGTCAGGGTTTGTAACTGGTTATGTGGACACTTCAGTAGGAGGCCGTTGTTTAGTACAGTCATCTATTGTGATAGGCATCCAAAACAAGGTGATTTTCTTCTCATTACAGGCTTAGTGTTCTTAAAACTTATTTGCCTTCTGGTTTGTGGAGCAAACAGTATACCAGCATTAGCCAAACTAAATACTGACCCTAAATCAACTATTTTTTTTTAGGAAGGTTTTTAAGGGAGAACATGGGGATACCACCTGAAGAGTATTGGATTAGAAGTGGTGCTAAGCCCAAATTTACCAGCCAAATAAATGGTAGTCCCTCACCTTCAGCCAAGAGCAAAGAACAAGGTACAACTTCTTCAATGTGTCTTTGTCCTTAAGGATCATTCATAAGTATATGATACAAAATAGCAAGTATGTGATACTTGGGTAATATTTGAAAATAATAAAACTAATTCTTGTTGCTCGGATATTGATTAAATGCTTGTCAGTCAGTACATCTCACATATTTACATCCTTCTTAAACCCAAACAGGGGAATAAGGATGCAGTATAGCCACTTTTGGGTTTTAAGGTATCATGGGGAATCAAATTATCACATGCTTTGTGGCCAAGCAAAGCCTTTGTTTGTGCAAAGTTGCTACTGTCATAAACTGTAATATTAATTCTTTAACCTAATGCTTCTCTTGAGTGCGTAGTGGTAGCTCCTAATCTTCATGAGTAAATCACATAGGAAGTCATGTCTGATAGCTAGATAGGCCAACGTTCAGAGGAGCTAGCATGGACCTACAGTTGCCCTGATACTGCTAAAGGATGTAGGAGTGCAAATCATTGTGATCTAGCTGAGGAAAAGATTAAGAAATGGGTTATTCTAACCAAAGGAAAAGGTTAGATATTTTCAGTATGTTTTCTTAGCTCCTGAAGCAGAATTTTGTTTTTTTTCTTTACAATTGCTTTTTACTTGGAGTTCAAATCTGGTTCTGATGCTTTCCAAGTGTGTTTCTTAGTATAAGTGCTGTTGGGACAACTATATAATTTGCTGTAGTGTGGGTATGGCTACTCTCCTGAGTCACATGCTTTCAAGTGTCTCAGAATCGGTCTATCAATGGAGCGTGAAGCTATCTTCAGAACAGACTAATGACTTGCTTCTCTCTTCAGTTCACTGATGATAAACATCAGGTTTCCTGTATCAGCAGCCCAGGAGACTGTTCTTTAGAGTTTATTCCTTAGTTCTCAACATGGCTTTCCTGCTTGAGCATATTGGGGTTTAGGGTTATTTGCTCTTGCTTTGGAGGCTTTCTATCCACATACTTCAGTGTTGTAGGGCTTAGGTTTTTATGCTAGCCTGCTCTAGAAACTAACTTTAAGTTAGCAGCACTGTTCTTAGCTCCTTATCATAAATTCATATGATAATAGTTCTAAAATAGTTTTGTTACCTGTAAGTTTCAGCATGTCTCTTCTACCTCTCTGAAGTTATAGATGGTGCAGCATACTGAGGATGTTTGGTTTATGTGGTGCTCCTGGCTTTCTCTTCCTCCTTTCCAGCCCATGTAGTTTGAAGAAGCTATTGCATTCAGTGTTAGGAAGCAGGAATCATCTGAATGCTGTCCATGCCAATGGATGATTCAGAAGTGCTAGCAAAGTTACATCCTTTTTAGAATGTTCTATATATTAAGACTTGTTTTTTTCAAATTGATCTTAAGTGCTCAGCATGTAAGAGGGTTTGGCTAAACAAGTTATGTTGCTTTAGCAGTAATATTGTAAACTAAATTTGACTTCTTGAATGGTGTACCTGTGGTACATAACAGGTCTAAAGAATTAAGATCTTTTTTTAAAGACAGTTGGGTCACTTGGACAGCTATCCACTAGTCTTGAACACTTGAAAAGTGAACTAGAGCAGAATTATCCAACTCCTGCTATGTTCTTTTTGCCACATTAACACCTATCCAAATTATGACCTAAAATACAATGCGTCCATACAATTAGTTAGTGATTAAATATTATAGACATATAAGACTTGCTTGACATATGTACTGTCAATTCTATCTGCCACTAAAATGAGCACATAGAGGGGAAAGGAGAAAGAGGAATGCCCCAGACCAAGTGGGGAAAGCCAAGGTTAAATTAGTTTTAAAACTATGCTTTGGAGGAATAACATTAGTTGTATCTTGTTATTTAGGGTGCCCACCTTTACTTAAACCAAAGAAAAGAATAGGCAAGCCACCTTCCAAACGCAGAGACAGAAGATATGAGGTGGAAGAAGTAGAAGTGTGGGAAATGCCAAAACACAGTACACACAAAGGTTGGTATACAGTGACAAGTTACAAAAGTGACTGTTAGAAGGATTTTCTCATTACTGTCTCAGAGACTAACCTTTGTCAGTTTGAACTGCAAGGATGTTGGATAGCTTGTGAAATAACAGCAAATGCTGTGTATGCAGACAGGATCGGTGGGGGGAACTAAAGCTGAACTTTGAGCACTTGCTATGAAAATGTAGCTTTGACCGGGTTAGGTTCCTTCCCTTAATGTAAGGATGTGGGGAGTAAACACACACCAAAACCTACTGTTTTCTACTGTTGTCTAGTTGCTAGCTTTGGGTCCTGTGTCACTTTGCAGTATATACTTTCCTTTAAGTAACAGGTTTGTCTCTGCCAAAATACTGTAACTTGATACAACACAAATGGATATAGATAATTCTTAAGAACATCAACTTTATGGAGTGGGAACTTCTTGCTACTTCGGAGGAAGATGAGAAACAATGGAGGGGAAAATCATGTTAATTAGGTTCAATGCTACATAGTCTTTTGTACATTTGTGAGTCTGAAAAGGTTATAAACTGATAAGGATCAGTACATACAAGTAGCTACCTAAAAGGTCATATATCTTTCTGGAAAAGAATAAGGTAACATAGTAAAGCTAACTTGAATATTCTGTCAAGAAATACGTGAGTCAGAGTCTTTCTCATATTAAACAGAGGATTATACTTCCATGTATCTGCAAGGTCAGAAACAGACTAAAGTGTCTTACTAGTGAAAACTGGTGTCAGTCCTGAGGTTAGATTGTTTGAACACTGGTGTTAAACCTTTAACTGCTGATCTGTTTTTGGCAAAAGCATCCAGGAAAGTTCCAAAATCTCAAAACACATCTTAGTTGCCCCAGAAATAGATGGTGTTTCTTGGATCCTTTCAACAATGTAGGTACAAGAGCACACTGAAAATGTGCTATGAGTTTCATACAGAACTCTTATCTGTTATACTAGAATATTCTGAAGTCCAATACTACTCCTGCAGAATCTGTGCTTGGGAAGTTGAGTACATAATTCTAATATCAACCATCAGCGCCTGCAATAGGAACAGGAAATCACTGATGTCTAGTCTTCTTTAGAAGCAAATTGACGTATTATTTGGAGATAGAATTGCATACCTTAATCTTTTTTCTCTTTTAACCTTTAGGGCGTGGAACAAGAAAGTCCCTCTCTAAGAGAAGATAATTGCAAATATTGGGGCAGGAGGGGGGAGCTGTGTGGAAGGTTTGTTTTGCATAAATCAAAAGTTCAATTGTTGTTATTCTCCTACATATTTTGTAAGTTGCTGTGCACTCTTAATGGGTAAGAAGTGACACTGTAAAGACTGAGGACACTTAAAAATGGAATTCAGTATTTAACACCAATGTCACCTTTTTACAACTAGCGCATTCACTATTTAAATAATAAATTTAATAGAATTGCACTTTGACTTCTTGTGTTCCATCTGTACCTGCTATCAAAAAATCTTGAGATAGGCATGTGTGTGCACCAATACTACTATAGCATGCCATTAATTGCTGTTCTTAAACTCTGTGGGATTGTGAAGCCTGTCAATATCCTCTCATAGTTTGTCTATACGATATGGATATAAGTACAAGGTTCTCTTTCATCAGCTGAATTTTGGGCTGGATTTGTTTTTATCAATGTGCAAAGGAATATAGTTAAAGCTGTAGCAAGTCAAGTACTGACTTGAAATTTCACGTCAGTTCCTCAGATCTTTTCAAATACATGATTGAGGACTGAAGCTGAAGCACTGAGTTGTGAGGCTCCCCCCTCCTTCCCTTTTTCTATGGAGACTTTTGAGTTCTTTATGGAGACCTTGAGCCAGAGAGATGGATCTGGAAGGTGAAACAGAAGTCTTTAGTGGTGGGCCCTGTTTTCTGACATTTTACTGATGGCTTCTATTACAGTTGATACTGTCCTTGGCAACTGACTAAAAAGTCTCTGTATAGAACTAAGATGTTAAAACTAGGTCTCTGCTGAGCTATCTTATGAATAATGGAAATACTGATCTAGATTAGGTGGATAACTCAAAAATGTGTGGGGTTTGTTGGTTTTTTTCATGTCTATGAAGGCTAGCATCACTGAGAAGAATAAACATGACACTGCCAGTCTTGAATGATTTCCAAATGAAGTAATAGTGTGAGTGAAAAAGGTAAGGGAACTGGAGGAAAAAACCAAACCCAAAACAAACCATCTGTTTTCCTTTATGAAAGGGCAGGGGGAATGGACAGACAGGACTTGTCTTTTGCCTCCTCTCCTACGTCTTACTCTGTGCCCTAGAGTAACCTCCATGGGTAAAAGTAGCATTTCCTGTGCCTGCATTCAAGTTTTGTGCCTACCTATTACTAGTTTGACCTATAACTGAGCTTATGCTGTTTTTCGTCAGTGAGGAGTACTGACATTCCCCCATCCAAATGATGCTTGATTTTTCCATTCTTAATAGTGCTTGCTTACTTGTTAAAGCTCTACTGTAATTACAGCCTTTTCCCTAAGCTGTTAAGGGAAAGGATCCACTGTGATGCCAAGTTTTATTTCCTCTCTACCCTAAGTACTTCAATAAGGAATACAAATTCTTATTTGGCTTTTGTACTGCACAAAAACTCTACACCAGAACCTCAAAGAATAAAATGAGGGAAGGAATTACATCAGTTAATACTCTGGGGTGGGGAAGAAAACCCAAACATCACAGGACTGCTGCTCTTGAATATCTAGTACAGCAATGTGCTGCTCTTGGAGGATGATAGATTTTATTCTGATGGGGAAAATAAGTGGTAGAATCTCCTCAACTTGAAGATTATATAAGGAATGACCTAAGAGCAATCCTTAGCTACAACCCCTAGGGTATGGATTGACTCACCACCACCAAACCTAAGTGTAGCTCTTGGCTTTAATACTAAGCCAATTCTGCTGGCAGGCTTAACAGTGTCTTTTGCTGCTTGTCTAATAAGGGAGTATTAGTGACCTCACAGTTAGCACTCTTACTTTTGGGAATGGTTAATACTTCACAGGTACTCCCAAGATCATGCTACTCATCCCATTATGAGTCTTGCACGAGTCAGTGTGTTTTCTACTCAGATGCAAGCAGCAATTTAGGGCCTGGTGATGCTAGCTCCTGAGGACATGTGAGGGGGTAGCAGTGGGAGTGTTTAGACAGCTGTTTGTCTGAAAACAAATGCTATTTTAAATTGATTGATTTTTTTTTTTTTTTGTATATACCCAGAGTATGCATCCACACCAATGCTTAAAGTAGTATGCATGAATGTTCTAGTGCTCCTGAAATACTACTTGGATAATATTATATTGGGTGTACTCTGATGGTACTAGTCCTGTGACCTTAAAACTCTATCTTCTACTTGGGGATTTTTCCACTCAGCAGCATGGATGATTTGTGTATTGCATCTGAACTGGTTTACAGCTGTACTTAATGTTCCAGTAGGTAAGATGACCCTGCTCCACACAGGCTGTGAAGTACAAACTGCATTTTAAAAAGCTGTGAATTCAAGCCCAGTGTCTCTTTATTCAGCTAGGTAACTATCCACAGTGATACTTAATTTTGCAGATGCACATACGTGTCAGCTTTTGTTACCCGTGAAGCTGGACTGCCCAGTGATTCACTGCAGTGCTGGCAGTACTGTCAACTTCTAACTGCCGCAGTACTGCATTGCCTTGGAAGTTTTCATATGCTTCCTGCAGCTCTACTGAAGGGCAGCTGAAGAATCTATTTGCTGCTTGGCACACCAGTGACAAACCTTAGAGGCCTCTGAGACTGCCATACTGTGAGCTTCTTTTGGACAGACTTACTGTCTCTGACTCAGGAGTTCTAAATCGTTATTTGCAGCTAACTGGAACTTTTGTTGTGAAGTGGGTGTGGTGTAATCACTGATGTGGAGCCAGTGGACCATGTTGGCTTGCCAGGTTTTAATTGTGTAATTTTCAGTTTGGTAGCACCTGGATAGCAAAATTGTCCCTTTTACAATGTCCTGTTTTCTGCCTTAATCTTTTCCAATATAATTGCAGGTCTTTCTGCTAAAATCAAACAATGGAAGATGGGAGCCAAGAGGGGAAAAAACCAACCCCCAACCTCTAACACTCATGGCATGCTAACTGTAGGCGTACGAATGAAAAACAAATTCACTGTTTAAAAAGAGTCCTCAGCTTCCCCTGACTAACCTGCTGCCATGGTCTGTCTCACTTAAGACTATAAACCTGAAGTAATTTCACGGCCAAAGAAATAAGACAGATATCAGTATCCTTCCTGAAATACCTTTCTGGCAAAATGGTTCAGAGTATTAAGATAAACACAGCTGGGAGCTGCAGACCTGTTGCCTATGAGCTGCATTTCACAGTTACTTAGATTCATGGAACTATACAATTATGCTATTACTACCACTCAGGCTTCAGCAGAACTTTCAAATGGAAATATTTGTCTACAAAGGCGGCCAGAAGAAAAAATGCTGTTTGAACAAAAACATTAGCCTTATTTTCTTAGATCATAACCATTTAACCAGTCTTTTAGAACTGTAGCTTTCTATCCTGCTTTTGGGTTTACTTCTACATAGAACCATTTTCCATTAGTATAAAGGGGTGTTGGTGTTTCTCTCTAGTCTACATATTTCTAAAGGACTTAGAATCTCATAAATGCCAGCTTTGGCACTGTGTAAAATGCCAAATGATGATGTGCTTCTCAGCCCTCTAGCACTGGCTGCTAGTCAGCATGACTATAAATCGTTCTCTACTGAAACTGTTAGCTTCAATTTTGAAATGCTACTTTTATGAGTTTCAATAAAGACCTACGTGTAAGGGATATGATAGAGACTTACAAAACTGGGAATGATAGAGAAAACAAATAGGAATCAGTTGTTCACATACCTTCCAGTACAAGCATGAGGGTGTATAAAATGAAACTAGTAGGGAGCAATGTGAAAGCAAATTGTTACAGATTAATTATTAACAAGTGAAGAAGAGTTCACTGCTGAAGGAAATAGCAAGGTTTACAAGAAGTGACTGGACGTAAAGGAAAAAATATATCCAATGCTACTAAATACTATAACATAAGATTCAAAGTACCTGCAAGCAGTGAAGGCTGAGACAGCATGTAAGTGAAGCAACAGATATAATGCCACTAGTGTTTGCACTGCTCTGCTATGTAGGCATCTGCTATTGCCTATGGGTGGAAAAATATACTAATATAAACAGACCTTTAGTCTGGCACAGAACAGAGACTTGGTATAGCAAACTTTTAAATTGTAATTGATAGAAATGGTATCCTCATATGGTATTTTCCTTTATTGTTCAAACAGTAAACCATTATAGGTCAAAAGGGAAGGATCCATTAACAATGGGGTGACAAAAAACTGAACTTGTTTTTATTACACTAAACTTCAGAAGACTCTTAGATTGAAGTAACTGAAGAGATCTTTCAGTTAGCTCTGCTCTAGACAAACTCTTGGAAAGCATCAGGTGATTATCAGGCTTCCAGCATCTGTCCAACAGTCACCTATGCTATAAATGCATGAATTTTCTCAGCACCAAATGTGGCAATACAAGAATCACAAAATGGTTTGGGTTGGAAGAGACCTTAAAGATCATCTCATTTCAAGCCCTTGCCCCAGGTGCTGGGACACCTGCCAAAACAGGTTGCTCAGAGCCCCATCCAACCTGGACAAAAGAACCAGTGCATTATAGGTCTCCCTACGCTATTTCATCTGTTAAATCTTTTTCTGGTGAAAGAGCCAGGAGCTTAGAATTTGATGATGATGCTGATACAGGGAACTATAATGAGTTACCAGTAAGTCCCATCAGAGGCAGATTTCTAAATAAAGGAGAAAATACAACTCCACATTCAACCTTTTGGAATAAGATGAAGAATCTTTTTTTGCAAGTAGGCCTTGCCTTTTTTTCCCTCAGAACATATTGTGAATGACTGGCAAGGAATGGGGGGCTATTTATACTAAAGCACTCTTATACATGTAGGAGGGGAAAAAACACAATTTATACTTTACCTTGTCCTCTTTTCCAAAGCTCCCAGGAGAAAATAAAAAAAGTATCTTAGATGCATTTTAGTCTATGGTTCATTGGTTTCACTATTAATGTTCACTCTACTATCTTAGAACTTTTATCATGTGGTTTGGTCTTTTTGTCATTATTAGTATAAGCACAGAGACTAAGTTCTATAGCAATCCTTTCAAAGCAAATCTAGTTTTCTCTTTCTTTTGGCAAAGTGCCAAGATCTATCATCTAGTTCCTCAAAATGCAGTTTTGTACCTAGGTACCTTGGGGTTTCAAAGACAGATGCTTACTCTAATGCAGTTTACAGCTGTCTCAATCTTTCTGGTTGAGTCTGCAAGACTATTTAAAAGAAAAACAGGGTCAGTATATAAGGTCAATTAAATACACAAAACTTTCTCTTCTTCCTGCTTACAAGTTCTTTCCTACTGCTCTGTGGCCTACATGCATATAGTTGAAAACCATTTTGAAAGCCTTGCACATTTATATTCTTGTGGGATGATTCAAAAATTATTACATCATCAAATAATTCTAGTAAACAAAAATAAATTGGAATTTATCTTCCCCCAGACTTTTCAAAAAGGAAACACTCCCCTCAAATGTATCAAAACAACTGATACTGAAGAATAGACAGAAATTAACCTTTTTAATTTCTAACATGAAACATCCCTTTTTTAAATAACTAAACCAACTACCTCTTCACAGTAAAGCTGAATATCTAACATAATTACACTTGGCTCCCACTCCTATGGTTTGGACAACGCTTTAGATGTTGCAGAACTGTGCGTATTAATCAGGATGATGTTGAGAATTTGCCACACGTGTGTGTGCACAAAAAAATCAAGTCTTGCTGACAATGCAATTTTGTCTTAAAGTACATCCCTTTGATTAACTTTTTTCCCCTTCAGCAGTACTTTTTACTTCCCTAGCTGCCAATATTAGGGTAAGTACACTGAACTTCAGCATGTATGTGGAGAAAAAAGAACAGTACAACCTGCTTATAAGCACTGTAAGTGCCCTGCATGGTGCAAACTGCAGTCCCCTTACAATGAGGCTTTGTATACAATAAATTCATGGAGAAAAGATACTTCAATAGACAGCCTGCTAATGCTGCAGATTTGTTGGTGATACCTTGGTATTCACTGCTTTTTGCCAATAGTCACGTGTGGCAACGCAGAGGCCCAGTTTGACCAAGAGGAATGACCCTTAGCACAGGTTTCACAGCACAAAGATATGGTTGAGTAAGTTTCAATGCAGCTTTCTTCTTTCTGACTGCAGAGGGGCAGAAGAGGATGTCAGTGTAGGATGCTGTATGTCTACATCTGTATGTTCAAAGTTAATAAAGCCCTTTCTGGTGTTTTCTTCCTCATTCTTTGGATCTTTCCTTGCAGTTCACAAGCAAAGAGGTCAATGAGCATGCAGCAGGTGACTGCTGTCAGTCAGACTCTGACTTCTCATTAGATTTGGATGATTTACACTTTCTCTTTTTCTTCTTCTTCTTTTCTTTTTTTTTCTTTTCCTTTTTTCTCTTTTTCTTCTTGTGCTTATGTTCTGAGGAAGTGGAGCTGCTGCCATCTGCATCACCCTCATCACTGTCATCGCTGTTATCATCTGAGGTAGAGTCCTCCAGGAGCTGCTTCAGTTGCTGTATCCTGAGTTCAAAAAATGTGAATGAGAATCCTTTCTAGCTCTCCTCTACCTGTAACAATTTAGTCTAGCTTTCAAGTTTACTTTCTAGCTTGAGGAAGTGAAGCTGCATGCAAAGGGCAGAGGAGCACTTCCTCATTTGCTTAATTACACTCCTGTTACAGATAATATCAGAGACTGATAAAAGCAATCTCCTCTGAGACAAGTATTCTGTTTTCAAGAACTTTCCATCCTATGGGACAGCAAAGGCAGACTAGCTAATTGGCCACTGTTTATGTGTGCAAAATAATAAGGCAACAGCTATCACCAGACCACCTGGTGATAAGAAGTTCTGTGCTTATCCAGAGACAGAAACATACATGATACTATAACATTCATTGCCCTGCTGATACAGAGATGATGCCTGTGATGCTGACAGAGTAGGTTCTATTCTGGATGCAGAAGTATTTTTGAAAGCCACTCTTCCTTTGAACTTTAAAGGAATACTGGCAAACGGGGAGAAAGTGTTTGCTTATTTTCCTGTTGTATTCAGTATCCTCTTCAAGAATTCCTCTCCTAGGGAAAAGCAACACACCTGCAGCAGCAGTGCTGCTCTGTGGGCTACCTATAGTTTGTTCAGTTATCCCACTGACACAGTTCAAACTAGAAAGCATTAAAAACTGCTGTTTTATATATTGAATATTGACCTCACAAAAGGAGCAACATCAGGTGCCCAGAACTAGTTTTCTGAATTCACCTCTTTGTTTCTACTGAAGGCATTTTGACACAGAAAATTTTAGAAAACATCTCAGTGAAGTCAGTGAAGGAAAAAAAATAAAGTCAAACTGGTTTTTAGGCCTAAACCAAAGCTGAAGTTGTACCTGAATATTATGGCATAAACAAATACAACTCCTCTTTAAATTTTGTTTTGGGGAAAATATAGAAGCTAATAGAACTCAAGAGGTACAGAGTACTACTGAGCGATAATACTGAGAAAGCAGAAATGCATTTATCTGCCAATATAAAGAAACTGCCACTAAAAAGATGTTCCGAGATAATTACGTAAGCTTATAACAAAAATTTCACCTACAAATTAGAATCATGTTATCAGAATAAAAACTAAATTGAAAATGCAGTTTTCTACAGAGATACACTCACCTCATTTCTTTTTCATGACGTTTATTTTCCCTTATTATGTCGTACATTGGATCTTCATGTGCCTTTAAAGTGGAAAACAGAAAATCCAAGGTTGGTAAATATAAGCGTTTTGTTCTGTTTCCTAAAAAAATAAACCAAAGGAACTGAATACAAGAGGCTTTTATCAAAAGATGGAATATGCTTTGCAAGCTCTTAATTCACAAATACACTCTCAGATTTAATAACACTGTTAATCTCAACTGGCGTTTTAACTTTAGGAAAAGCTTATCTCGTTACATCACCTATGAAGAGATTCTCCTCAGGTATAATACTTCTCTCCCTCTCCAATCACAGCTGACTACAAGAACCTCATACATATACAATGGGAATAGCTAGACATAGATGGAATACTGAAGTTCAAAATGAGTCCTATGTACACTCATAACATATTTTAAAAATCTGGATACAAACATACAGGGACACAGGAGTAAGGAATATAAGATAAATAGATAATGAAGTTGGAGATGTCCTATCATGCTATGTGCTACTGCTACTGGTTCTGACATTGGCTAGTTTTAAATTGAACAAGTGGTGCAGGAAAAGCTACCGGTGCAGGAAAATAGCAAATAAACTTTGCAGACATTTAAGGTGGGTTCATGCCATGCAAGAAAGCAGCAAAAAGATGGGGTGATCATTTCTGTTGGAAGATTAAGCAAACAAGTCCAACAGAAAGAGATAGCTGGTGCTGACCAGTGGTGGGAATTAAAATGTCAGTGGCAAACGAAAGATGTTTGGAATGCACCATGAAGGATCTTGGACACTCAGCAAGAGTTTGATGCAACAGAGAAGTCTGAGCAAAAATGAAGAATAGAGGTAATCTGGTCATAGGAGAGGGCTAAAAATACTCTTTGCAGTCGCACATGATCAGTATGAGTCCAGAATCTAGACATAATGAGCCTAGACCACATGTTTTAAGGATAGAAATGAGGACGTAAGACACAAAATGAGCAGAGCTTGAATACAGGTTAACAATGTAGAGCAACGGGAAAAATTAGAGATCACACAGGAAGAATTTGCAGAACTGAGATGTGGTGGCCTCATGTAGCAAGAGATCAGACTTGTAGACAATGACAGGGTTACAGACCTAGGTAACAGGCTTCATGGTGTGGTTGTTCACAGCGAGATCAGAAGGCCTGAAGCAGCTGTAATTTGGGCAGCTCAAGCTTGACTAAGCATTTTTTATTATGTTGACATTTTAATCACAAAATCTGAATACAATGGTTGAAATAGGTTCTTGAAGATTTTGAATTTCAATGTAATAATTACTAATTCTCCTCTCGAAGAGTAGATTTTCTGCAAAGTAGTCAAACATCCAACCACATCTGTAGCTTTTTCTTTATTATGAGGTTGTCGGCATCTATGTTATACTAGAGACAGAGGAAAAGTCCTTAATAAAGCATCATCTAACAGGCTTCTCTTCAATTGCAAGATTATGCATTAACAGTACCAAAAAATACAAGCAACAATACTGCAGTGTTTGTACTCACTACTCTAAATTGTTCCAATTTCTGATTGCCTTTAATAAAGAATGGACATTCTTTATCTCCTGTTCTGTGTCCGTAACGTTTACATCTCCAACCTTTAAAAAAAAGAAGCAGGAGTGAATTGCAGCTCTGAGGTATATCAGAAGTACAAAAAAACCAAAACCATACTTATGCAAAATATTTTCCATTTTTTTGAAACAAATAGAGAGATACAAGTACTATGTTGATCAATGTAATGCCCATAAAATACAAGGCTATTACAGCCTTCAGGACGCTGGTTGCTTTTATATGAATATGATGCCAATCTACCTGGACCTCATCATCAGTCCACAAGACATTCTGCCCTTCCCCAGAATACATGGATGGATATATGAAGGTCCAGTAACATCTGGAATGTTTTCTGCCTTACACTGCATAACTTTGACTTCTTTTCCCAAAGGCATCCAAAGCCCTTTTGTTGGGGCATGTGCCAGGAATTCTCGTGCGCTTTCATTGCCTGGTACATCAGGTATACAGTCTTCTGGTTTTGTTTCATTCTCCTACAAAGAAAAAGGTAAGGACAATAAAATATCTTCCTTTTTTTTATTAACTTCATAAAAATTAAAACTTCAAATGAGCAGGCCTTCACTTCATATGAAGCCTATTTCCCCTGTAACATTTTTTTCCTTGTAATGCACAAAGAATCTCAAATACCTGACGACCCTCTCTTTCTCCTTCACCTTTGAGTTTTCCAGTCAGAACTTTACTGCCCTATTAATTTCATTCCTTCCCATCTATTTTAGTAATTATATTTAAGTAAATAATATAATGAAAACTTAACATAAGCAGAGACTTCTTTTTCCTCTTCTTGCTAACAAGACATGACAATTTTAAAAAAGCCTTTACAACACAAAGCAGTATTTTTCAGGTTAAAAGCACTAGATTATGGCTTTGGTATACAAATTTGGCAAAAGTGATGATCATAATGAAAGGAAAGCATTTTTAGAGAAATGTTTGAGCCCAAGCAATGGAGAATAATCCTGAAAAGGTGTCATTCAAACTGAAAATCTGCTTTCCATAAATGACTCCCCTCTATCCATGCTCTTAAATACTGCATGAAGTGTGTGCTCTAAGAGATGATGGAAGAACTGGTCTCCTCCTATCTGATTTTGGGCCTTGCACTCCAGACCACCAAGTCAAAGAGGTCACCTTGAAACTGATGATTCTCTGAGTTTTTCCCAGGAAGCACTCACTTCTCTCTGTAATTTATATAGGTAGCATAGACACTTAAACACCTACAGAACAAGTTGTGTGAAAACTCCTTGTAAACTTACTCCTATTTACCAACCTTAATTAGCCCTGGGGGAGGTTTCTCATAGCTGAAAAGCAATAGAAATATTGTTACTCTGCAGCTTAGCACAGACAAATAAATTGAGAAAATACAGCTTTTCAATGGTATAGAGTTAAAATCTTCAGCTCACAATTTTCCATAAATTGCACTCTATCACTGATCACCAAGAACTGCAGCAGAACACTGACATAGGGATAGCTGGATGCAATCTGAGACACTGCATCTGTCACATCACCACATGTCTCTTGCAAACATCCTTCAGTCTCCTATTCTGTGGGAGAACAACTACTTGTTGTGGATGTGTAGCACATTTGATTTAACTTCAGTTACCATACATAATTCTCTCCTCTTTTTTTGTAGCACCCCTCCCCAAGATCTCATTGATCCAAACTTCTTTACTCCATCACTGGTGAATCACAGAGCTGAAAATGTCAAGTCAGGCCATTCCTTACCAGCAGCTTTGCCAGCCAAACCTAGCATATAATTTCATCTTCTGTGCATTAAAGCTAAAGACCTAAACCTAGGAGATTTTTGGCATTATTATACTAGAGACAGAAAAAAAGTCTTTACTGACTGAAGTGCCATCTTTCCTGCTGCATTTCTCTGGACTTAACAGTAGGTATATTTATTCAAATCCAGATAGCAAACAGATGCTTCACAGAGCACACAGCAAACAGAGAAACTGACAAAGTCCATGTGCTTAGGAGTTAAACGCCAAGGCACTACGAAATGGTGTTTATAACGATAACTTGGGAGTGCTGTTTGCTGCATTTAACAACAAACAGATTTTTACTTCCACTTGGAAAGGGGGAAAAAAACCCATAGTCTTGTGAACCTTCTAATCTCTTTACTCCATTAAACCCCTTTCGGTGGAACAGCATAAACCTTTCACAGAAGCAGTGTGGGCTCCCGAGGCAGAGCTCAAACCTTTACACCTCAAGTGGGGTGTTTTGGTTTTTTTTTTCTGTTTTAAAGTCCATTCTAATGAAAACTGGCTGTGCTGCCATGCTGCACCTTCCAGACTTCGGGCAACCTGGGCGAGCCCCGTTCGTCCCCAAATAACCCACGGGCGAGTTCCCTTTGCGGGGACACACGGGGTCAGCACACGCTGCCCCACAGACAGAAGCCGGCCGTGCTGTTACAGTGGGACGGAGCTGGAACAGCCGGGGGAAGGAGAACCCCCGCGAACCCCCCGCAGGCCGCGCTGCGGGGCGGGCAGCCT